CGAAAATGTTACATAAGCAAAGGTTGCAAGATACAACTATTAGCAATGTACTGTTAAATATGTTTTTGGCATGAACATACAAGCAAACCATTCATTGCTACAAGCAAACCATACGCACGAAATGTCACCAGCTAATTAAAAACTAGAAAACAGAAGACTTGGAATATAATCAATTGCAATATAATTAAGATGCCAATAGTGCCCAAGTATACAAATCGGAAATAGTCCCATACGTCGCAATATGATTGCATTAACAATTGACTAACGCCACAAAAACGAAAAACCGAAAATTTCCATAACAATGCCATAAAATGCAAACAGAGTTATTCAATACCCTACTGATTAAATATCCCTTTAGCCAATAGCGTTTAATACCAATAATCCGCCAGTTTTAATTTATGCAAATCCTTACACTCTCTGTATCGTCGAAACTATGTCTTTAGCCTCTAACATTTAATACCAACGCAACGCCAGTTTCAGTTCATGCAAATCATCACATTCTCCGAATAGTCCAAAACCGAATTCATCAACTGCCGGCTCAAAGATCGGAAAATGATAATGGAAGAATGAGGAATATAAAAAATAATGTGAAACGCATGTTTGAAACTTTGGTCGTTTAATTCCAACCAATCTGAAATAAAAAGCTTCCATTCGAGCTTTTTTGCCATTTCAAATATTCTGTACTTTACTTCGCCTTGTTCTTCACTACATCAATGGCATACGTCTTTTGGTTCAATTTTCTGCTGTACATCGCTTCAGTTCAGAACAGTCCAGGTAAGAAATGTTCATTCTATGTCCAACGGAAGATCCTCAGTTAGGCCATACTTCGGTAAATACATTAAACGATTAAAAAGTTTATTAAGTTAACAAAATCATACGAGCAAAGAGTATTTTTTAGAAAACTTCAATATTCGCGGGAAAGTTGATTTAATATGCGCGGGAAAGTAGATCACAACAGTTGTTTTTCAGATGTGAGAAAGCATAAGTGTCCACATGTCAACTGTAATGTGACTATACGGGGCAAAACCAAACATTTCGAACATCTCCAAAAACACAATGAATCATCCCGTCATCATTGCAAGCAGCTCGGTAGTGGTGAAGAATTCCGTAATCATTCATCAGAATTTTCTCCCTACAAGGAAGTGCATCAACCTAAATTTAAATGCGAAAAGTGTGATTTTTCCTCCAGCTACAGCCATTCACTGGCTAGACACAAGAAACGTTACTGCAATGCTCGTGAGTTTCGCAAATTCAGCAAAATTTTTATCATTTTTTTTGCAACTGATATAATACACATGGAAATATGCTACGAAATATCTCTGATCACATCCTTTGACTCAATAAGGTGATGTTTAAGAAATGTTCATTCTTTGCCCAACGGGAGATGTGCAGTAGTGCATACTTCGGTAAACACATCAAACGATCAAAAACCTTATTAAGTCAACAAAATCATTCGGGCAAAGAGTATTTCTTAGATAACTTCAATATCCGCGGGAAAGTAGATTTAACACTAGTTGCCTCAGATACATGTACATATAACAGTAGATGGGGAAAACTAATGGATAATTACCGGATATATAGTAGTAAAGCATTATATAATGGCATATCGTTTTAATCCTTTCAGTTTATGCTTTTACCCAATTGGATGAAGTTGAAGATATAAACTGAAAGAATCCCAAATCTGAAGCTGATCTCCTTGCAGCGAAAAAATTCAGAATTACCCCTCATCCTACATTCTTCCATTAGAGGCAACATGAGAATGAGCTTTTTGCTTTTATAATAGATGCTTTAATAATAGATAATAACAGATATTTTGCTTTAACAATAGATATGTGGAATTCAAAATTTAATGCTTACTGCAATATTTTACTAACCACAGTAGATAGCTTCTTATTATTTGTTGGTATTTGGCAGTTACTGATGCGATAATGAACAGAGTGACAGAATTCAAGGAATTAGCTTCTTTACAGTCCGATGAATTTAAATGATGTTGAAAATGGTGACAATAATGTTATCACTGGTGTTCTAAGAAATGTTCATTCTTTACCCAACGGGAGATCTGCAGTTAGGGCATACTTCGGCAAAACATGAAACGATCATAAAGCTCACTAAGTTAACACGATCACTCGGGCAATGTCAAATAACTTTAACAACCATGACAACGTGGATTTAATACTAGTTGCTTCAGATACGGGTACATGCAGCAGTAGATGAGGAAATACTCGTGGACACAAGAACAAGTACTAAAACATTATGTAATGACACGTTATTTCAATTCCTTCAGTTTATTCCTTTATTCAATTGCATGAAGTTGAAAAAATAAGCTACAAAGAAACCCAAATCCGAAGCTGATCTCGTTGCAGCGAAAAACTCAGAATTACCCCTTATCCGATATTCTTCCGTTAGAGGCAGCACTAAGAATGAGCTTATTGTTTAAAAAAAAAAAACAGGATAAAAAATGAGCAACATCTCGTAACTTTAGTTAGTCGAAATGTGTTTTGATAGGTTCAATAAATGATACTGATACAGTCATTTTTCAAATTATATTCATTAATTAGCACACAAAATATTTGCAAACACAAGCGTCATATCAGTTTTCCAGTTGGGCAGATGAAGATTAAATGTCGTTATTGTAATGTGACTGTGCAGACGAGGAAGGAATATTCAAAACATCTTGAAATGCACAAGAAATATGGCATCACTTGTCCCGAATGTGGCAAGACATTCTATTCCGCAATGGGATTTCAATACCATGAAGATGCACATCAATCTAAATCTCAATGTGAAATTTGTAACAGGTCCTTTTCTTACAAAACTGGACTACGACGACACCAACGACAATTCCACAGAGGTAGCCGTTAGTTTTGCAAAGTTTATCTTTAGCAAAAGATGTTTTGAGGATATTTGGTGCATGAAAATGTGTTGCAAAACATTTACGACAGTGAAGTGGCAATTCGAAATTAATACATACTGTAATATTTTTCTAACATCGGTAGATGGCTGCTTGTCATTTGTCGCAGTTGGTGTTTGGCAGGGACAGAATTCAAGCAATTAGCGTCTTTACAATCCCATGAATTGCATGCCCCAACTTAAGGAACTCCTAACGGAAGGAGTTCCCTAAGTTGAGGCATACATTGGTAGACACATGAAACCATCATTACCGGTCAAAATTCGTTAGGTTAAAACGACCACTCGAGCAATGAGTATTTTTCAGAAAACTTTGAAGTCCTCAACAACTTGGCTTTAGCACTAATTTCCTCAGATACGGTTACATATGATAGTAGATAGGGAAATATTAATGGACAGTTATCGGGAACAAGTAACGAAGAATTACATAATGACATATCGTTTTAAGCCCTTCAGTTTATGCATTCACTCAATTGCGTGAAGCTGAGAATAACAAGCAGTAATCGAAACTGTTCTCGCTCACATTAAGAAATTCACAACTTATTCGTTGTGCAAAATTCCATCAGATGTAACAAAAAGACCTAGATTCTGTTGCAAATATGCACAAAATAAGTGAATAGTTTCACGTATTCTAAATTAATTGGGGTGGGAAGTTCGTTTATAGCCCTAAAATCCTCATGAACAGTTTTCAGACTGAGTCAATTAATTACCAAATAACGTGATAAGAACACTAATTGCAAACACAAATCTCACAACACTTGTTTTCTAGATGTGAAAAGCATAAATGTCTAGATATCAGCTG